AGTTGAAAGGAAAAAAGAAGAAGAAGCAACAAATGCGGTTTGTACTAACAAGTAGAGAACACTGATCAGAAGATGAAAGACTAAAAAGGTGCTGGGGAATAACCAGGGTTTGATGTTCATGCCAGATAATTAAGGTTGCACAACTATTCAGTTGATGATTCTTGGCTTGCCAATTTTGAAGAGACAGGGATCAACAGAATTCAACTTATAATGGGTTTATATCAAAGGGACAGAAAGAAGCGTTTCACTATGACGAAGAATTCAACTTATTGCTGAGTGATTGGTGGCGCAAAAGTTATCATGATGATCCCAGGGGTTGGGTCAAAAATAAGTTCCATGCACATAATCAGTATTATAATCTTGATGTACTGTGTATTATTATTTTACTACTCATTAAGAATAAATAAATTAAGTTACTTCTTAAAAATATATCTTTGTCTAAACAATTTATAAAAGCTTGATAATTTCGCAGTTCGGGTATCTATCTATTACTATTCATTTCTTGACTTCATCAATCTCACTTAGAATAATGGAGATATAAAAGTTTTTATTTAGAAACTAGTTTCAATGCTCATCTCAGTGATAAGTGCCATGATGCTCATCAAATTTTAACCATTTAAATTTAATATGAACGGCCGAAATATATTTCTCTGGTCCTAAATATAAGACTCATTTTGTAGTGCAAATTGTACTAAAAAATAGGTATTATATTTAAGACCGGAGTAGTAATATTTAATTTTTTAAAAAAATATTTTTCTTTAATAGCTACATAATCCAAAACAAATGTAATTTCTTCACTATAAGTTTTTAAAAAAATAATTTTTATTTAAAAATCAATAGAAAATCTTAAATCTAGACCCCTAAAGATTCATTTGGTATGAGAAAAAAAGGAGGAAAAGGGAGGGGAGGAAAATTTTTATGAACTCGATTTAAAAAATTAAAAAAATGGCTTTAGAAGCTTTTAATTAATTTTTATTGCTCTTTTATCTTACAACTTCTCTCTATTACAGTTTCAAAACCCCTGTTCTCTAAATTTTTAAATTAAGTTCATTAAAAGTTTTTCTGCCTCCCCTCTCCTCTAACTTCCATATACCAAATATAAGGTAAAAATGTATTTGAATGATTTTACCGTAACGATGAGCATTATGATGTTTATCACTGTAATGAGCACTGGAACTGGTCTATAGTTTTTATTGTCTTTATTATGTTCTTAGTTTAAATATAAAGAAGAATAATTTGAATTCGAAAATTTAGATTCCAAATTGGAGATCGGAAACTTACTCAACACTAAATAGTGAAACAGAATAATGATTTATATGGCCGGCCATTATCCCATGTTATTTTTTATTAAGGTACCATTGAGCTTTGTCTCTTACTTTTATGATGCAACACATTTGAAGGCTAAAATTATTAGATATCCTCTCTTGGACTGATTTGGGGGCATCTAAGACAAATTAATGTTAAACCGATTGGATTAATTATACTTGTTTTTGTCTGGAATCAATTAAATGTTACCTCAATTCTCAGAATTTATACAAATTCTTTTTGAAATAAATTATGCAACAAAAAGTGAAGCTTCGGATCTATTTCAAATTCATGTCAAAGTATATGATGAACTACCCATTACAATTGTGACTATGGGGGAGTGTTTGAGAAGGAAAGGACTTAATTATGCATTGTCTTTCCCTCCCGAGAGGGTTCGTGGGCTCCTTCAGGCTGACATGCCTTCTGCTAGATCTTCTGCAGGTTTTGCAGTGTAGTTTGGGTTGTTGAGGCTCCTTATTTCATCTAAAAAGAAGGAAAAGACTTGAAGAGGAAGAAAAGGACTTGAAGAGGTGGACGACGGCATGGTGTTTGTATCGGCTTTTTTTAAATAATTTTACGTAATACAAGATAAGTATGTAAGAAGAGTTTTGTCTCGAATTACATAAAGATATTTTTTTTTCTAGATGAATATATTATAAGGGTTGGCAAACTCCCCATTCAGAGATTGAGCAGCATAGCATAGGCTTGGGATTTCACAATGACTACACAATACCTTTAAATTTGGATTAGTTAAATATCTCAGTGTTCGGTGGATTAATACAGGATCTTGCATGAAGATCTTTCTCTTTTAATTTAGAACATCTCCAACTAGAAAATCTTCAAAATCTAGTTGAAATTTTCTCACAAAAGTATCATCCATTCCGGTGTGTGCATCATAGAGATCATAAAATGGAGGGATTGTCAAAATATGATATGCATTTACTATCCCCGAACTTTAATTTAATTCGTGAAAATGATTTAAAAATAGTTATCATATGGAAAAAAAAATTTTTGTTCGCGTGATTAAATTGTTTTTAGCATTTTGTTCGCGTGATTAAATTGTTTTCCAGCACGGGTTGAATAGCAAATAGCGTTCATGTGAATGTGAGTGCATATTGAGAGACGATGCTGTGAATTATGGACCTAAGTTATCCCAATGATGGACCTCATTTAGGGCTGAAGGGTGGCCCAAAATATAAAAGTAAGGACAACAAAGCAATGTCATTGGGCCGGACAGGAACAAAGAGCCCATGACGTGGTGATTGTCAGGCTGAATTGGACGCCATGAGGTGCCCAAGTCCAGAGACCCAATCCAATTTCCCTGAGGGTGAGATGCAAGATGCTGACAGCTTATTGGTTTGTTTGGATTGGCGATTATGAATATATTTCATATAAATTGAGACAAAACTCTACTTATATACTTATTTCGTATTCACAATTAAAAAACTTCTTATAAGTTACTCGAAACGAGTCCTATATTTATTCTCTGAGTTTATTTTTTTAATAAAAAACATTTACCCAAATTATGTTAATGAATTAAAAAGGTGTTTAAAATTAGTTAAAAAATCATAAATATATGGAAAAAATCACAAAAAAGACTTGAAAAATAGAAAAATTATAAATAAGGACTCGTTATAGTATTAGGATTGGTTTTACAACAATTGATAAGCAAATAACAACATTTTTTGTGAACGGGTTCATGTACGTAATTTTTTAATTTCTAGGATAACTTTTTTTGTTTTTTTGGTGATTTCCCCTATATAAAAGGTGTGATTTTTTTTCAAAAATATTCTTATTTATGACAAGAGAAAGAATAATTGTTAAAATAAAGAGGATTGTGGAAGAGAGAATTTGCAATGGATAGAGAGTATGAGTGAAAAAGGGAATGATGCTTGGAAAGTTGTGTGATAATAAATGCATTGAAATTAACAGGGACAAAAGGAAAAATTAACAAAGAAAATTTGAGACATAATCAAATGCATCTTATAAATAAGAATAAGTCATATATGGTAATTGTTTCTTAATTATAAAAAGCAAGTAGAGACATGGTGTCCCCAAACGCGTAAGAACAGTTAAGTGGAATGCATGATTTCTTTAACTTTTTCACTTTTGATTTCATGTTTTGGGGTCCATTAGAATTGGAGAAAGAAAGCAAAAAGAAAGAGCCCTGTGTAACTTCCAAGTTCCTACCTAGTGGACGACTCATGCTCATGAGAAGTCTAGTAATTGTGAAAGATAATATATCTGGTATGAAAGTGAGAATCTCTTTTTCTTCGCCTCTTTAATCTTCCATGTTTTGATAATTGTTTTCTATTGGCTACGCTTACATAAGAAGAAAGACCACAACCATTTCCAACTGAGCTGACGACTCGAGCTCATGAAAATGTCTGGAGATTGCAGTGCTATTCTGTTCGTCTCCCTCTTGAAAACTTGCAAGCCATGAATCATCAACTGAATTAGAAGCTTATCTGGTATGAACATCAAAACCTCTTTTTCTTTTGCTTCTTTAGTCTTTCATTTTCTGATCAATGCTTTCCACTCTCAAAGTATGAGTTGCTTTAAGAAATATTATTATAATATATGAAGCCATCATGAAGAATAATTGAGTCATTTAAATTATCATCAAGAAAGTTGTGATAATGATTTATATTGCTGATTTGATTGAGCTGTAATTCTCCATTTTATATTTTGTCAATGTATTATTATTTTATAAGCCCTAATCAACCATAAGTAAAATAGCAGCCTGGTTTTTCAAAAAAAGAAGTAACGACTTGCGTTTGTTCAAGGCAGAAATTAAATAGCAGTAATGAAATAAGGCAACTTCTATTGATTGGTTCTTTATTTAATTTAATCATTTATCTATTTGCAACCTTCACTAGTACCAACATTTAATCCAAATTTCTTGTTTGTTCCTGTAAATGTCTCAAGAAAAGTAAAAATCATAAGATTACTTGTTTACTTTAACTTTTAAATTTGGTCCAAAGGCACCTTCGCTAAAAAGCAAGTAATAGAGTCATGGGGTCCCTAAACACATAATGGCAATTAACTGGAAATATAATTTCTTTAACTTTTTCAATCCTAAATTCATATTTTGGGGTCCATTAGAATAGAAAATTTATCTAATCAAAGTCTTTACTCCAAGTTTAAGGCTATTTTTCTTTTATTTTTTTGAAGTAAAAAAAAAAAAGGAAAAAGAAAGAGCACTCTTATTTCCAACCGAGTTGACGACTCAAACTCATGAAAAATCTGGTGATTGCAGTGGAATTCTGTTCATCTTGCTCTTGAAAATTTGCAAGCCAAGAATCATCAACTCAATTATCTGGTATGAAAATGAAAACCCTGTTTTCCCACCTTTAGTCTTTCATTTTCTGGTCAGTGTTTTCTATTTGCTACACTAACATAAGGGTCCATCTGTGATCAAACTCGTAATTCTCAAAGTATGAGTAGCTTATTAGTTGTGTTATCAATTGGAGCTATCGCTTACAGGCTACATTTGTTACTTTTTTTTCCTTTCAACTTCACACTGATCTGATAGAAAATACAATCTAAAACAGTAGATTTAGCCGCTCTAGTATCTAAAAGTTCCTGGAAAAAGTTTATATCTCCTAGAAAGAAAGTTACAACAATTGATCTTTCTTATATTTTCATATTCTACATCATGAAATTTACCTTTCAGGTTGCTGTTACTTATTTGAATGGATGAGGTGGGAATATCAATAGCAGCAAAACTTGCTGAATATTTGGTGGATCCTACTTTACGCCAATTGCAATATTTGTTTTGCGTCGGAAAAATCACCAGAAATGTTGAGACCAAAAAGGAGGAATTGGTACTGAGGCAGGGGAGGGTGCAGGAACGTGTTGAAGAAGCCATTAAGAGGACTGAGAGGATCGATGATGAGGTTAACAAGTGGAAGAATGAGGTGGTGAGGCTCATAGCAGATGTGGAGAACTTGGTGCAAGAACTTAATGCCAACAATGGCTGCTTCCAAAGGTGGTGTCCTACTGGGAGGAGATATCATCTCTGCAAAGTGTTGGCAAAGGCAACCCAGCGGATGGCAGAGCTAAATACAAAGAGTGATCAGTTCGAACCATTTTCGCATCATGTTATTGTTCCAGATATAGAGTATCACTCTTCTAAAGATTTTATGTTCTTCAAGTCAACAGAAATGGCATATGATCAACTATGGGAGGCACTGCAAGATGATGATAGCTCTATAATTGGGTTGTGGGGTATGGGCGGTTCGGGCAAAACCACATTGATAAAGGAAGTAGGAAAGAAAGCCAAAGAATTAGGGCTATTTGATCGAGTTATAATCACAACAGTTTCCCAAACTCCAAATATTAGGAAGATTCAGGGTGAACTTGCAGACCTGATGGGACTTGAGTTGAAGGAAGAAACTGAAGTGGGAAGGGCGAGAAGAATTGCAATGAAATTACAAAGTCCAGAGGAGCGAATTCTGATTATATTGGATGATGTATGGGCTATGTTGAACCTTGAGGATATAGGGAAACCCTTTGGGGATGAAGGTCCCAGAAATTGCAAAGTCCTTCTTACCACACGTCGTCAAGATGTATGTAGTTTGATGGATTGCCAAAAAACTATTCCATTGGGTTTGCTAACAGAACATGAAGCCTGGGATCTATTTCAAACTCATGCTAAAGTAGATGATGGTGCTAGAAAAGTGGCCCAGGAAGTTGTTACGGAATGTAAGGGACTACCCATTGCAATTGTGGCCATGGGGAAGTGCTTAAGAAGAAAAGGACTTGATGAGGTGAATGTAGTATTGCATAGGTTAAGACATTCGAAGCCAGTTGACGTGGATAAGGGAGGGAGTGATGCTTTTACTTGTCTGAAGTTAAGCTATGATTATTTGGGAACTGTAGAAGCCAAATCGTTGTTCTTGATCTGTGCTATGTTTCCCGAAGATCATGAAATTATCATTGAAGATCTTTTTAGATATGGAGTTGGGTTGGGCCTATGCGAAGATGCTGACTCATTTGAAATAGCAAGGAGCCAAGTTATAGCAGCCATAAATGTTCTCATTGATTCTTCGTTGTTGATGTATTTTGTCAACTTCAAGAGTGAAAAATCTGTGAAAATGCATGACATGGTTCGCGATGTAGCTTTGTGGATAGCACCTAGAGAGCATGGTACAATTATGGTAAACTCTGCTAAAGAATTGAATGAATTGCTTGAAGATGAAGCAGTAAAAGATTGCTATGCAGTATCTTCATGGAAGAAAAAAACTGAATTGGTTAAATTTCCTTCCCAATTGGACGCTCCAAAGCTTGAGCTTCTGTTGTTAAATTCGACCAAACCCTTGGATTTATCACATGCATCATTTGAAGGTGTAAAAGGACTAAAAGTTGCAGCTTTGATTGGCAATCAGTTTGGCTATTTGACTGAATTAGTACCTCATTCAGTGCAACAGTGGTCTAATCTTCGAACATTGCGCTTGGAAAGTTGGGATTTAGGTGACATTTCTTTTTTGGTAAACCTAAAAAGGCTGGAAATTCTTGACTTGAAAGGCAGCAAATTTAAAAAATTGCCAAATGGAATTGAAAAACTAAATCGTCTGAAATTGCTCGATTTGTCATGGTGTGCAGCAGAAGAGTGTTTTTGTAAAGTAATTGGAAGGTGTTCGCAACTAGAAGAATTATATATTTCTAGAAATTTACGGCCTTCAGGATACACAATTTGTTATGAATGCTTCGTGGGGGCCCCAGCTCTCCCAAAGTTGAGAAGGTATACATTAGAAATGGGGCAATGCGCCAAGCCTATGTTCTGGAAAAAAGGCTTCAGAGAGTTATCCTTTGGGGAATTAAATATCTCCATTTCAAGTGCAATGATCAAGGATCTTGCACAAAGAGCAACTGCAATTGAATTTTATAACCTTCAAGGAGGCTGCAAAAGTTTCAGTCCAGATGTGGTTCAAGCTGTAGGAGGCACGAATGAGCTAATTAAACTCTGTCTTCAACACTGTTCTGAGTTTGACTGCCTTACTGATGAGACTAGTCCTCATGATGAAGACATAGTTGTCCTTAGATTGGTTGAATTGGTGTTGAAGTATATGGATAATCTAAAACAACTATGTCAGGGTCCTCCTAATCGTAGCTTATTCCTAAATCTGGAAAGTCTATATATAGGAAGTTGCCGTCAATTGATTAACATGTTTCCTGCTAATTGCAACTTATGCAACCTTAAGGTCCTTAACATTGTCAACTGTCCGATGTTGACATCTGTCTTCTCCATCTCTGTTGCTTGCACTCTGTTATCTCTAGAAAAACTCACAATAGAAGGATGTCATGAATTGAAGCACATAATTGAGGGAGAGGATGGCGTTGATATATGGGAGGATCCGAGATTCCCAAAATGGGAAGTTCTATCTGTTTGTGATTGTAAGCAATTAGAATCTATTTGCCCAAGCTTCTGCGTCCAAGGGTTTGTGCAATTGAAATCTTTATTCATAAGAGATACTCCTCAGTTGAAATTTTTATTTGGTGAACATAGTGAAGAAACATCCATACGTGATGAAAATGAGACTAAGATAGTGCTTCCACTTTTAGAAGAACTCAGATTGGAGTACCTCCCAAATCTACTCAGAATTTGCTCAGAAAGCCATCATCTATTGTGGCCATCTATAAAGAAAGTAAAATGGACAGGCTGTCCAAGATTGAATGCTTCATGTGATCCTCTCATTATTGATTCAGAACTAAGGCAATCAGGTCCAAATATGGTATGCATTTACTCTTTGATGCTTTGATTTGATTTGCATAAAATGCTAAAGAATATAAAGAATCTGTTGTTTTCTAAACATCTTAGTTCCTGTAATATATATATATATATATATATATATATTTTTAAGATATGCATGAAATAGCAAGTAGGGCTCTTGCAAATAAATATCAAGAGATCCCTTACCTTATTAATACATCTTTACATGCTTTAAGTTCTTTTTTTAAATGAATGAAAATAAACAATCAAGGAAGTGACGTAAAAATTTTCCATCTTGAATGAGTTCCTAATAAAGAAGCCATCGGATATATTAGTTCTCAAACTATCAATATCCTTTTTAAAATCAAACTCGTAGCATATGCCTTTATTAATCATAGTCTACCCACTTTCTTATATGTTCATGTAGTTGTTTTTCATTTATTTAATTGACCTAAGTTTAAATTGTTAGACTGAGTCAATACAATAATACATGCACATAATGCCTTTTAGTGAACCTCACTTTGCCATACTTCTGTAATGTGTTTTCTATGTCTTTAGGCTTGAATGAAATATGTTAATAGCTTTCTTTTTCTTTTACGCAGGAGTCTCATGCATATAATGACCAGCAACCGAGAGTTGGAGAATCCAGGCCCGTAGCAGCTATTTCAAATGTTGAAAGCATTGTCTTTTTCAATTGTGGGGTAGTATCTACATTTATCCCAAAAGTTCCAATATTCCAATGCCTTAAACAATTGTCTGTGGAAGGATGTGGAAATCTGAAATTTGTTTTCTCAGCTAGTATCTGTCAAAGCCTTCCAGAGTTAACTTCTATAACCATATCTTGCTGTCACGAGATGAAGGAAGTCTTTTTGGGAAATGAAGAAACTCAGGAGAGTCTATCCATATATCGACTTTGTCTGCCAAATTTACAGAGTCTGGAAATCAAACAGTGCAACAAGTTGAAAAGGATTTTTTCCTTTATGGTTACTGATGATGCTATCTTAATGTTTCCAAAACTAAGAATTCTAAGCATATCAAAAGCTTCACAATTGGAAGAAATGTTCAGATGCTCAAATATTGAAGACCATGTTATTGACAGTGAAAATGAAATCATGTTCCCAAACTTGGGATTGATAACACTTGAGGAGTTGCCGAGACTTGCTAATTTCTGCCAAGGGTTCAAGTTTCAAATATCTATGTATTGCAGTGTGTTGGTATATGAATGCCCAAAACTGGTGCCAAATGTGGGGTCGAGTGCCAGGTGGGGTGTAGTGGTAAGTAATATTGTTCACTTTTGTTTATCAATGCTTCCTTCTACGCTGCAAATCCTATGTGTGTTTTATTTTCTAGTATTTACTTGATGCCAGGTTAATATTTCATGCTTTTCATTTAAAAAATGGGTACAAACATTGTCGGGAATAACTTCAAAACTCATCCAATTTGTGAAATATTTGATGATTTGACCTCTCTTTTTACCTTTCCTGAACTTTCCAGTGAGCTGAAACTGCTTTTTTCCCCCCTTGTTTTCACTTATCAATCATACAGAGATTTGTTAGGAAGCATGTGTTGAAATGCTGCCAATTAGACAATAATGAGGGTCTCTCTCCGCCACTTCTTATTCTAAATTCAGAAGAACTGGATGATTTAAGTGTTGAAGTGCAAGACTTCTGTAGAGTCATCGGTGACGAGGACTCAGAGATGGCCGGTTTATATCAAACACTTAAGGGTCTTACTCCCACTCAAGGTTTGAGTTTCCAATTTCTTCATTCTTTGGAAGTCGTTCGATGTGGAAAGTTGAAGTTTTTATTCACTGCAAGCACCATTGTCCATAACAGCCTTCCCAAATTGAAATTCCTAACCTTATCTCATTGTGAAGAATTGGAGGAAATAATTGCAGACAATGAGGAGCCTCGAAACACATCTAATACTCAAGTTTGCTTCCCAGAACTACGAGAGTTGGAGGTTCAAAGGTGTAACAAGCTCAAAAGACTCTTTCCTACAACCATAAACACCATTCTTCCACAGCTTGATTCTTTGTTGATAACTGAGGCTAATCAATTAGAAGTGATATTTGGACATGAAAGGGAAGATGATGCTAACGATGGAGAGAAAATTGTGCTTCCAAGCTTGAGAAACATAAAGCTCAGAAATTTGCCCAATTTCGTCCGTGTTTGTCAAGGATTTCAGTTTGAAGCAGTGCAGCTCTCCAGCATCAACATATGCAAATGCCCCATGTTTCTTGATCCAATTTTTGGATCAACTCAAATGGTTTCACTTCAACAATGGAAATCAATGGTATTTATCAATATTCTCTTGACCATTCCCACCAAATCTTCTAAATGACAACAAATTACATGTGGATTAAAATTGAGAGAGAGAGAGAGAGAGAGAGAGAGAGAGAGAAGAGGAGAATAGAAAAATACTTCATGCATGTATGATTCAATAGATTTTTCTCTAATTTTGAAGCTCATTAAAAGATGAAAATGTGAATATATATGCACCCTGATTTCATGTCTCGTCAGTATTTATTATAGGCATTGCTTATAACATTTTCATGTACAACCATATCAAAGTTCTGACAGGGAAATTATGGTTGTGTACATTGTTACTCTAAATATTTTAGCACTTTGAAGCATATTTTGATGTTTGCCTCGTATGCTTGCATGTCTATTTGCTATGTTTTATTGTTATTGTTGTTGTTGCAGCTGCCACGGCCATGGCCGCCTTCTTTTTGAGAGTGTGTTTAACCAAAAATTCTTAACTGTAACATGGATGAATTGTTGTGTTTCTGATTGAAATTTCATTCTCCACAGGATTCTAGAGGAGTTGAAGATTTCCAAACTGAGGCAAGTGTAGAAAAAGAGTTTCATGCCAGTGAAGAAAAGGGGAAGATCATGATCTCAGAAGTACATTCTTTGACTTTGAGGCATTCAGCTAACCTCATAACTTCTTTGTGGGAGGGTCCCACTTTAATCAGCTTCCAAAATCTTGGACAGTTAAATGTGTTCGGATGCAGAAGATTAAAGTCTATCTTCCCTTGCACTGTGATCAAAAGCCTTCCATGTTTAGGCTCTCTGACCATTATTGAATGTGAAGAGTTGGAGGAAATCATATCAGCAAAATGGGAACAAGAGTATGATCACTTTCCAAATTCTTCCTTGTGCTTCCCAAGACTTGACAGTCTTGAAGTCTCTAGATGCAGAAAGTTGAAATGTCTCTTCTCTCTGCCCTCTAATGGTGATTTTGCAAAGTTGGAAGATCTGAAAATAAAAGGGTGCTCTCAACTGGAGCAAGTTTTTAGTTGTGAACTTGAAATCCATGAGGAAGAGTCCAACAAGAACCTGCTTCCAAATCTCAGATATCTTCTACTTAAAGACTTGCCCAAACTCACTCACATTTGTGCGAGTTTTCCTTCTCTGTTAAAGTTTTTGCCTCTGAGGATCTTGGAAGTTGAGGATTGCCCTGTGCTCCAAAACAGAGGTACGTGCATACAAATTTTTCAGACATACATGCTTGCATATAGGCTATTTTCACACATGCCCATATTTGATTTAACAACAATAATTCTCCCTAATTCTCCTTTTTCTTTCTAGTTTAATATTTTTTTTAATTAGTGGACAACTTTGAAGCACTGGCATTTTAAAGAACATAGCTTTGTCATGTTCAAAAGTTGCTTCAACGGAATATTTCAAGTTGCAGAACCTTCATATTTTCTTTGCCTTTGTGTTTGTATTATTTTAGCTTTTCACATGTTTAAGTTCCCAGTGGACAATGAACAAGGTGCATTTTACTATATCATATTTTTTTTCCTTGCATTTGCTGTAAATTGGATTGTAAATTCTGCAGATAATGTTGAAGAAAGTGGATGCTATGATTCAGATGGTTTTTATGACGACGACTTTATAGCATTTGAGACTACAAATCAATTTCTTCAAGGGAGGCCTCCCCAACCGCCCGCTTCGATGGTTCTTGGTGAGGAGACACATCCCTCTGAATTAAGAAGGTAATTATTCGGAAATATAATATACACGGTTAATATAATATCCTAAAATTGATATAATATATAGAGTACATTTTTGCCCCATAATATTCCTGAAGCAGCTATGCATGCTTTAAAAAAAAAATTGTCGAACATTGCGAGTTTGCGACACATAGTTCTTCAAAATTTGTGCAATTGTACTCTTTTTTAACAATCAACAAACATTAAGCTATATGTGTTCAATAACCCTATTAATAAAATTATATACTACCTCCGGTTTTAATTATAAGACCTCATTTGTAGCCTACAAATAAGGTTTTATAATTAGGATTGGAGATAGTATGTATATATAACAATGTATAAAGAATTATTAAGTGACTGACTTGAAAGTATAATAAAAGTAAAATAATTAAAAAAAATAAAAATTTCAAATTATCCTTTTCTCTTGGAGTTTTGTTTGGTCCTTTCAAAAATGAATATTTTCTCCAACAGATACAATCGGTTGTGTCGACGGATGTTTTGAGAAGAAGGAAAGTTCTAGAAGCTACCACAACCTTAACGGGGCTCGTCCTCTAACATTGGTGGCAGCGTCGTCGTCGTCCTCACCTTACTCAGATGTTCAGTCCTTGGCCATAGCTCTTGCTCTTTGCTTTTCCTCTTAATCTGTGGGACAAGTTTGAAATTGTGTGGCTGTACGTGTTACTGTCATGGGGGATTTTTTTGCAAATTGATTCATGTACTTTGATACCTCTGCCTCATTTTACTTTTCTGTATAAATGTTTGCATCTTTCAAGAACGTTTTAATCAACTGAGAACCTTCACTTATCCATTTTACACTTTTGCCCCACCCACATATATGACATTATAAGTACATGCATGTGTTAGAGATTATGAAATCATGTTCATAAATATTTTACACCCAGTTAATTCTAAAGAGAAGTTTATACACTGTTTATTATTATGATTCCATGCATATATGACTGAAATTGCTTATTGAGGAATTAAACATATGGCACTTATTGCTAACAATACTAATGAATTGGATGTATTTTCCACTTCCACTGCATTGGATGAAAGATATGTAAGATAAGAGAGTTAATGCCTATTTGTTTCTAAATATAAATCATCTTTAATTAACTCAAACGTATCAAAAAAATAGTTGAAAATATTAATTTTATCCTAAAATTCAAGTAATTTTTAATATTTTTATTAAGCACATTAAACTCTAACATCATATTAATTTTTGCTAAAATTACATGGCTGACATCAACGTTCAAAATCCATACAAAACCATCCCTAAAAGTAAAGAATATAACATACGGTCTTCTCCTAATTTTTCTAGAATTAAGCAAATGTCCATTCTATTTTCATTTAATGACATTTTTGTGTATGTTTGAAAAATTAATAAATTAATGAATTTTAATAAAATGCATGAAAGGTTTATATATTTTCAGTTTTGGAAAAATTTCAAGATAAAAAATCCCAGATAAAAAATTTAATCACTAACGAGTTTCATTTGCGTATCATCTTGTGACAAGTTGCATAAGATAGGACCTATTAGTAACTAAATTTTATAATTAGGAATTCTCTGTTATTTTTCATACATTTTTATTCCAAAGAGAATTCGAATGATTGGAAGCCACATTTAAACAAGTATGATTAATCCAACGCAGCACTATTACAAAAAAAGAGTTTTTACCTCCCTCATTTAGGTCTGTTCTTTAAAACCAGACATCTCCACAATTTTAGAGAATACCCAAAACATTTTAGCCGACTTTGAAGAATGTGTTGATGCATCAAAGTAGCGGACAAAGATGGAACCTACCAGAAGGTAACAAAATCAAAATCAATATTGATTGTCCTTATTGCTGCTATCTGCTTTGTAGCAAGGGAGTCGAATGGATGATTGATTGATGGCCACTCTAATCTTATTCAGGCAAAATAGGGTTTCGTGGTGGAATGCTTTTCTAGATTGATTTTTTTTGGGGGGATAAAGAATGCTTTGCTATGGATGAAGCTTTTGTTTATGCTTATGAGAATCAGTTAACTGATGTCTTCTTTGAATTTGATAAGTAGGTTTTGGTTTCTTGTTTAACCAAGCGATGCATATGCTAAGATTAAAGATGTGATACTGCTCTAGTTCTAAATATATCTAAGACTTATCCTGTAGTGTAAAATTATAGTGCAGTACCACTCAAGCCTTAAAAAAAAAAAACAGAAACTTAGGCCCAAACCGAAGTTTTAAATTTTATAAATAATTTATGAAATTGATTTATATTATATTATATATAATAACACAAATTAAAAAAAAAACTAAATAGATTAGGATTGTGGCTAGGCCTTATGAAAATAGCTGCTCGCTGTTTAGCTTAATCGCAAGCGCATAGATAGCAAATAATATGAAAAACATTGTTTTTTTAGAAACTAAGGTTAGACAAGTTAAAAATTACAATTATGTTCATGATTAGGTTAAGTGAAAATATTTGAAAAGTGTATTGTTTAAAGGACAACTGATTAAAACTTAAACAAATTCAATTTAAATGAAAACTGGATTGTAAACTTGACTTTAAGATGAAAAGAACTAAGGGTTATTTCTCCCCATTGTACTTCAGAAGATTTAATTAACTCCTCTTTAATTAGCTTCCTAATACCAAATTTTCTTTCTCATCAAGATACTCAATCTCTTGAAACAGTCAATGAAAATCCATTTAAAACCCAACTTTAAGATGACAATAATAAGTTAGTAACTATATCTCTATATTACTAAAAAACTGTCCATTCAAACCATAAATTTCAAGTCTAGCACAATTTTATCTAAATTCTTTATCAAGGTAAGCTTTATCAAGTCAAATTTAGACAAACAAAACCTCCTCAATGGTAGCCAAACATTTAGGAGCATGAAGCAAAAGTTAAAATCAACACATATATGACATTAATAACTAAAAGAGAGGAGAAATGAAGTCTCAATCCATACAATAATTTGAAATAACCCTAGTATAAAGAGTTTAGCTACTCATAATCCTAAACAAACTAGAAATACAATAATTCTTTCAGTCCATATCATACTACAAATGACAAGGAGAAGGAACCAAGTTTGGAGTCCCAAATAAACACCAACCCCTAACTTTAATGCCTTCAATCTCCTCTTTTCTAAGCCTCTGTCTGCTGTTGCAACCTGAAAACCAAGAATGGTGGCTTCCCTCGTGTTTTTCCCTTATATCCAACCCTATTTTAATTCATATCAGTAACCAAAATGCATGGTAGTAGTTTTTATTTATTTGCTATAGCAAATAACACTGAGAGCACATTTTGAAATTATGCAGCTTTAGCTATAGCGAATGACATCCTTTGTTATAGCGAAGGACACAATAGAGGTCTTCATTACTTTGCGTCTTCATATTCTTTTCCAATTTGCTTCTAGCTTTCTTCTTTCTATCTTCTTAAAAGCTTTTAATTATATTGCTGCATTTGGACCTTCAATCACAACTTAAATGTAGTGAAATTCTCAATAATCTTTTATACTTTTCTCTATGCATAAGTTCCTTGGTAAAAATCTAGATTATGCGCAAGTTAATCCCAAAAATAAGCAAATGCAGTGAAAAACAGTATTGAAATAGTACAAATTTATGAGAGTTAACTCTAGAGGTGGTAAAACAGGTTGGTTCGTATGGACTCGAGATCATGCGGGCCAGTCCTAAAAGGATAGCTTCCTGGTGGGCTCACATTTTGCCAGGGGACAGGTTCGCGGGTTGGCCTGCCAACCTCTATCTTTCTTTAAAAAAATTTTTACACATATATTTAAAATTTTTTAAATTAAATTATAAATTTTTATAGACCAAATTCCTCTTATTCTTATATTTTCATATAATTATACAATAAAATTAATCCCAAAATTTAAAGTATAAACATATAGTTCATTTTTAATAATTATTTTATCAGTATAAAAATAGTAAAATAATAAAAAAATAAGAAATTAAATTTAGAATTAAAGTTTCTAACAAAATACAAAGTTATATGCAACTTAAGTGAAAATGATAAAACTTTTTTTTAATTAAAATTAACATAAGAATTGTAAAAAAAAAAAAAAAGTTGGCAGGGTGTGGGTTGACTGGTGCAAGCTGAAAAGAACTGTATCAAAATGGTCTCTATTTTTTTTCCACCCAACCTGCCACCTCATGACGGGTTGGTAGGGGCTCAACTCATATTTCTGATTCTAGTTAACACCTATTTGCCTAAATAGACCAATAAATAGTCTTGAATATAAGCCTGGCCTATTTAATAAATAAGTTAGGTTAGGCTTTTTGTAGGTTAGGCTACCAGCTCCTACCTAGCCTACTTCCACCCTTTTTAAGGCAACTAAAGCTATTTTTATTTTTTATTTCAATTTAAGAGTTTTTATGTGTTTCCACTTCCCTTCATACCCCAGAGAGACTTTATTACCCTTGTTTACTTTAACCTGCAAAGACTGTATTACTTGTAACTTTTGAAAAGTAGTGGAATATTGACTCCTACTTCGTGAACGCGGATATTAGAGAAATAACGTAACCGTTCTCCCTTTTTTTTTTTTTTTTTGCAAAATAAAAGAACATATTACATCTTAAAATCTCGATTTTATTTATCTTCCAATAAATTCTAAAACCCAGTATGATTCCACTAAGGATGGACTAACAATTAAACCCAATATCTCACATTCACACTTGCTATCAGGATCCTGTTTCTTTCATCCTCCTTCTTTACTACTAACTAAATGAAGCTCAAGGCGAGGACCTTACGTGCCCCGCCAATCTCAGGGCTCTCTTTGGATTGGGTTCGCTTCAAGTCTAGAGGGTTGATCCTTCTTCAAGTTGGGTACCACTTGATGGTTCACTGGGCGGGGTATTCTACTCGTACACAACCCTGTCTAGTTTGAATTTTTTTTTTTGGGGACCTTATCTAGTTTGAAATTGAAGTTGTGTAATATCAAATTATATATGCATCAAAGATGATGATTGATTATATTCATTTTAATAATTTTAGAGATGAATAGCTTATGGCATCGTGGAAAGTACAAGAACAATCCAACATAATAAACAACAAATAATTCTTATCCAATTAGGTAGGTCGACTATATGGAGCACATAACAGGATTAAGCTTTATCTAAGGCTAAATTTTTGGATATATTATTTATTAAAAATCTCACTTGTTAATTCTATGAAGTGTTCTCTTCGGCCTTCTTCTACCCCTATTTAAAGGACTTTGTGCTGTTTGATTAATTTTTCTCACCGGCGTATCTAAAAACCTTTTTGGTGGGTGACCAAATCATTTCAAACAGTTACTGCCATTACGAACCCAACAACAATAGACAAATGAAATAAAAAAAATAAAAAATCCAAGGCATAAAATTAAAGATGCACCAATGCCTGGTTGGTGGTAGTTGGATCGTTAGGAAAGGCAACTTCAATTATGTGGTCCAGAAGTTCCAAATGACTCAGTCCAAATTTAACTTATTGATCTTTGTGGAGTAGGGAAGGAATTACTTATTTCGTATTTTGAGGTCTTGAAAAATGGGAAACCAGAAATAATTAGCTGGAACGTGTTATGTTTCTTTGACTTTTTCAGTTCCTATTTACTGCTTTATCATATAATAAAAGCCACGTGCCCTCAAACCCCCCAAAGAAGATAAGATAGCAACTTCTCGAATTCGGATTAGTCCAGATCTGTGAAGTTTCCCGTGACAAGGGGCTCCTTCTAATAGTTAGTAATAGTTGGACTGCTGGGAAGGTCAACTTCAGGTCTTCAACTCTACATGTGGCCGACAACTTCCAGAGGACTCGCCCCAAATTTCTTCATCAATAATTTTGGAGCACCTTTTCTATTTAGATTTAATGCTTGTAGTTACATTTGCCTTTCATTTAATGTATGTATAATGTATGGCTTAACAGTGAGAATAATACATTGTAGATCAGATTAATTTATAAAATCGATTCTATTGACTTATGACTGATAAAAATTGGTTATCAGAAGCTCCTTTAAATAGATAATGGTTCACCATTATTTTAAGAATGGCATTTGATATTCGTTCAAGGCGTCAAGTAGGGGGGGGGGGTTCTTCCAGCAACAATTTGTTTGACTTGTTTAGTTTAACAAAAAATAAACAACTTTCCAATTTCGTATAAATTAATATGTTATGTGATTGGTTGATGTCATGAAGTGAGATATATCGAATGATGTTTTATCTTTTTGACACATTTCGCAAGTTAAAGCAAAACAAAACATGTTACCTTGAAAAGTAAAAATGATAAGATTGCATTTCACCAAAGAAATGGAAAATGGACAACACCTACTGATCAAGGCCTGAAACGTATTATCTACGTATTATCTCTCTCCAGAACTGGCCGCCGCAGGGCAATTCTTTTCTTCTCACTCTTGAAAATCCACAAGCCCAGACTGAAAGCGGAAGTTCATCAATCACAGGTATGAAGCAATATCCCTCTGATCTTGAATCAGAATCTCATTTTTTTCCCACTTTATTATCTCATATGTTTCTTTTACCATTGTTCTGTTTACTTTCCCATTTTTACTTTCCCATACAGAAGCATCTATCTCTGATCTCTCTCAATTCTCAAAGTATGACAAGCTTGTTAGTTGCTAATAATTACTGCTGCCATTTTCAGACTACATTTTTTCTTCTTTCTTTCACCTTTGCATCGATCTGCTGGAAAAAATAGAATCATAAAACACTAGATATTGTTACTGTAATATCTTGACATAGCCGGGGCCAAAAAAACCTGATATCACAGCAAGAAAGGTGAACCAAAACAATTGGCCTTTCTTTAGTTTACTCTGGATGAGAGAAAAATCGTTCTTCTCATCTTGATGATATCTTCATGACAGGTTAAGTACCTAAGATGCTTCAATTATTCAAAATGAAATTTTGAGTTAATCATTTGATGAATGGCTCTCCTTCTAGGTTGCTATTAGTATTAAATGGCAGAGGTGGGAGCGTCGGTGGCAGCAAAACTTGCTGAATATTTGGTGCAACCAACTTTACAGCAGCTAAAATATTTGTTCTGTGCCGGCAAAATCACCAAAAATGTTGAGATCAGAAAGGAGGAGATGATGCTCAAGCAAGGAAAGGTGCAGGAACATGTTCAAGAGGCCATCAACAGGACTGAGAGGATTGATGGTGAGGTTGACAAGTGGAAGAATGACGTGAAGAGCCTCATAGCAGAGGTGGAGAAATTGGAGGGAGAACTAAGGGCCAATAACCATGGCTGCCTTCGAGGGTGGTGTCCTACTTGGAGCAAATATTGTCTTTGCAAAAAGTTGGCTAAGACAATCCAGAGAATGATTGATCTAATTACAAAGACTAATCATTTCAACCCATTTTCTCACCCCGTTATTGTTCCTGATATAGTGTATCACTCTTCTCAAAACTTTAAGCTATTCAATTCAACACAAATGGCTTTTGATCAGCTGTGGGAGGCTTTGCAAAATGATGGTAGCTCCGTAATTGGCCTTTGGGGCATGGGAGGGTCAGGGAAAACCACCTTGGTGACAGAAGTGGGAAAGAAAGCCAAAGAGTCACAACTCTTTGATAGAGTTGTGATTGCCACAATTTCTCAAAGTTTAGATATCATGCAGATTCAAGATGAAATTGCTGACTCGTTGGGGCTCAAATTGGAAGAAAAATCTAAAACAGGAAGGGCAAAAAGAATTGCATTACGATTAGAAAGTGGAGAACGAATTTTGATAATCCTAGATGATGTGTGGGCTAAGCTAAATCTTGAGGACATAGGGATTCCCTTTATGGGAAATCATCCAAGAAGTTGGAAAGTTGTCTTGACCACACGCCGTTTAGAAGTATGTACCTTGATGGAATGTCAAAAGATGATCAAACTTGATTTGTTAAAAGAAGATGAAGCTTGGATTTTGTTTCAAAGTCATGCTAATGTTAATGATGCTTCTAAAGAAGTTATGGCACGAGCAATTGCCATGGAATGTAGAGGCCTACCCATTGCACTTGTGGCTATGGGAACTTGCTTGAAAGGAAAAGGAGTTGATGAGATGAATGTTATGTTATATAGGCTGAGGAATGCGAAGCCAAACAATGTGGATAAAGGTGTGAGGGATGCTTTTGCTTGTCTTGAATTAAGCTATGGTTATTTGGCGACCCCAGAAGCCAAGTTGTTGTTGTTAATGTGTGCTATGTTTCCTGAAGATCATAACATTGTTGTTGAAGATCTTTTCAGATATGGAGTGGGATTAGGCCTATGTAGAGATGTAGACTCTTTTGAAATAGCAAGGAGCGAAGTTACAACAATTATAAATTATCTCATTGACTCCTCATTGTTGATGCACTATTCACCAAAGTTCAACACATATGCAGAAAAATATGTGAAATTGCATGATACGGTTCGTGATTTTGCTTTGTGGAAAGCATCTAAAGAGAATCGTACCATTACGGTAAGTTGTACAAAAGAAATGAATGAATTGATTGCTGATGAAGCGGTAAAAAATAGCTATGCCATATCTTCTTGGCATGACACCAACAAATTACTTGAATTTTCTTCTCAATTAGATACCCCAAGACTTGAGTTTCTATTGTTATGTTCAAGAGAGCCCTTGGATATATCACATGTGTCATTTGAAGGCACTAAGGGACTCAAGACATTGATTATTATGTGCATGGCTTATTGGAGTGGGATTGAACTGCAACCTCAATCAATCCAACACTTGTTTAATCTACGAACTTTGCGATTACAAGGTTGGGATTTACATGACATCTCTTTTGTGGTAAGCCTTAAAAGACTTGAAATTCTTGACTTGAGAGGTAGTAAATTCAAAAGAATGCCAAATGGAATTGAAAAATTAAACAAGTTGAAGTTGTTAGATTTGTCAAATTGTAAAACAGATGAATGTTGTTATAAAGTAATAGGAAGGTGTTCACAATTAGAAGAGTTGTATGTTTCCACACATTCTCCACATTCAGAAAACGAAAATTGCTATGAGTACCTTATGGCCCCCCCTGGTTTGATGAAATTGACAAGGTATAAGTTAGCAATTGGGGAGCATAGCTTAGGCTTGGTATTTCAGAATGAAGACACGAGATCATTATGGTTGGGTCAGTTAAATATGTCTATATTAGGTGCAACAATCAAGGATCTTGCACAAAGAGCATCTTCAATAAAATTTTATGAGCTTGAGGGAGGCAGCAAAACTCTCATGCCTAATATTGTCCAAGCTGTAGGAGGCATGTATGGGTTAACTAAACTCAGTCTTGAGAGGTGTTCAGAGATCGAATGTATTACCAGCGAAACTACTTTTCATGAAGATGTGGTTGTCCCCAAATTGGATGAGTTAGTGCTAACACTCATGGATAATCTTAAAGAACTATATCATGGTCCTTCTCCTTGTAGCTTTTTCCAAAAGCTGGAAAGACTTACTCTATCCAATTGCCCTCAATTGCTCCACATATTCCCTGCTAAGTGCAACTTATGCAACCTTAAGTTTCTCAAAATTCTCAATTGTCCGATGTTGACATATCTCTTCCCTATCTCTGCTGCTTGCACTTTGTCATCCTTAGAAGAGCTCCAAATAGAAGGCTGTAGTGAATTGAAGCATGTAATAAAGGGAGAGGGTGATGGTGATGTATGGAAGAGTTCAAGATTCCCAAAATTAAAAATAATGTCTATTGATGATTGTTGCAAATTAGAATATGTATGCCCTGTCTTTTTAGCTCAAAGATTTGTACAATTGCAGCATCTATCCATAGCAAATGCTCCCCAGATGAAATTTGTGTTTGGAGAAAACGGTGGTGAAGAACAACCAATGCATCATCAATATGAAACCCAGATAGTGCTTCCTCTCTTGGAACATCTCAAGCTTGAAAGTCTTTCAAATCTTGCTAGAATTTGCTTAGGGAGCTGTCATCCAAGATGGACATCTATAAAGACAATAGAATGGAGGGATTGTCCAAATATGGTACGCATTTACTCTCCCATACTTTAATTTGATTTGCAAGAATGTTAAAAACTATTAAAAGATTTTCATATAAAAAATATCTTTGTTGACATGATTAATGTTCTTTGAGCATGCTTTAAATAGCAAATACTGTTCATGGGAATACATATTGAGAGATGATCAGGTCAATTAGTCAATTCACATTATGTAATTAAAAATAAGAAATGAAATTAGAATATCTCAAGGCATGCATTATTCTTTTTGAATATTTGAATCTCACTTTGCTTTTGGTTTAGAAGTGCTCCGCGTTAAGAAAATAAAAATGCAATTACACATGGCAACCTTTTACTTATGGCAACTTTTGGTTTACAACCGTATATATTATGCAAATGGAAATGCAAGGGTTTAGGTATAAATTTATTTCAAAAATTTTCACTCAGGAACAATATTATTTCAGAATTTTTTTTTTTTAGTTTAAGGTTGCCTCTATGTTGCCTCTTATCATTAAAATGTCAACACTCTATAACACCTTATCTTTATACACCAGTAAGGTTATTCTAGATGATTTCAAACCGCTAAAAGCCATATTTCATCTTGAGAATTTTTTTTCTTTTGAAAACACTTCCCAAACACAAGGATTGATCCTGTTTAGGAAATGAGATTTTTTGAAATTTTTTAAATTGTCGAAAACCTACTTTCAATGGACCTTGTCTAGTGGTTCAAGTACTTGATTTAACCCTTTTATAAAATTGGTAAAATTATCTTAAGACTCAGGCCAAGCCCCACACTTAGCAAATAAGTCAACACAAAAATTCTTCTACTTGAGCAACTTCTCTATCCCTGGGCACGCACGCGGCATACACTTGCCCTTACATTATAAGACAAGTAAATATAATTAGCTATTATTACCTCTACTTTACCACCATCCAGCCATCAAAGCATATGACACTCACTTGTTGGCTACAAAAGCCCTTACTTTCCTCTTTATGGAGGTGTATATTGCCCGCATTCTCCTTACATAATTACATATATTTATGTACAAAACCATAGCCATACATGACTACCAAATACTATAAGTATAAAACAACAAAATAATACTTATATGACAACAACTAAAAACTTCTTTGGTGTCTCCACCTCCAGATCTTCTCTATAAGCTTGCCTTTCTCTTGAGGAACTTGCTACTTTGTTGATACATGGAAGAAGAGGGGTGAGATTTGAGAGAATCTCAGTAGCAATAGTAATTAGTCAAGCATGTAAATAGCCAATGTAATTTAGAACAATACCTTATAAGCAAATACACATGGCCACAGTACCAACTCAGGCAAGGATATTACATGTTTAAAGACATGCATGGCAAATAAACATGCAAACAACCAAACACAAACTATATAAGAATCAATAAGTTTCACTACCTTTTATTTCTTCTTCCAAGTTACATCCTCTTGCTTGAACTTCCTTAGCTTGGCTTCCTCCTTAATTTTGATAGGAATTATTGAATCCAATAATTAATATGTACATTTATAGGAACAAATTAATACTTAACTTGGGTACATTACCATTCATCATAAATCTTTCCCATTCCCAAACTCTCATTTGACTCTTTAACTTGTTTCTCTAATTCCTAACTTATGTTTGGAAAATCTTTCCTTATACTACCCCAAATAATTTTACTTTCTAAATCCATTGGAATCTTTAAATCTAACATAACTCATCTTCTTCATATTCAAATAGTGCTGGCCGAACAGGGAAGGGAAAGAAAAAGCATGAATCCAACTTCATTGCTTTAAATCATAATATGAAAACCTTAAACTATATCTTAGATGTAGCTAAAAAATTTAAAACACTTATTCCTTATTTTTGCATTTTTAAAGCAGTGGCTATTTCCACCCTTAATTATTCCAAGAATTTACATTTAAATGGTATTCATCGTCTTCAGTACATCCTAGCATATTGGAGGCTTAAAAATCATACTGTTCTATTATTATAGAGTTTTAAAACAGTAGCTATTTTTATTCATTCAGTCATGAAAATTTCCACATAGTAGACATCCATCATCAACCATTTACATAGCACTTAAACAACTCAAGTATCGTCTCATTTGAACACTTAATCATCTTCTAAACTTCTGAACAACTTTGCAATTTAATCTGAATTTTTCCCAGATTTAAAATCATGTGTCCAAATCCAAATTTAGCAAGCATTCCTTTTCATACATCACACCAATGGTATATAATGCAAGTCCATTAGCTTTTGGTACCATTTTATTGCCTTAAAATTTTGGGCTCTTGCAGCTTCTAACTGCACACCACAAACAGTACCAATACTCATTTTCATGAATCATTTAGCAGTGTTAGATTCCTTATTTTGAAAGATCTAATCATAGTTTTAATGAAAACTGAATAACATCCTTAAATCTGGAAATTTCCAGCTTCTTAGATTGCTCTTAGCCCATCCTTTTTATATCCAAGTATGACGTAGGCACATAGTACCATTATTACCTATATTAGTATATTTATCAGCACTTAACCATAGTCTTCATACGCTATACACCTACAGCCCCAGCAAATATATAACTATAACTATATATATATATATATATATAACATTTCAGATTTTAGCATCATTTCTTTGAATTTAGGGAATTTCCAGCTACAAGCTTACTGTTTTTGCCATCATATTGGAGTGTTTGGGCATGCTTAAACAATCTAAAATGCTTATCTAATATTTAGGAACTTCAAACAGCAAGTTCTCAATACATTTCAGCCTTGAAAATTTAAATCCATGAAGCTTACATCCTCACACACTAATTAACATTCATATAACTTAGCATTTAAACACTCATGCAATTTCCATAAGCAAAGTTGAATAATACTCTCCTGAATCACATTCGAAACTTTCTTCCCCTGAACCAATATTCAACATGCAAGTAGTGAAATCAATCCCACAAGCTTTAGTGTATCATCTACACATGATTTCTAAACCCAATCATCCCCTGTTTCAGAAAAATCACCACCCAAACATCATATTCAGCATGCAAGCTAAAAGACAAGCTTTATTAGTCAAGTCCTAACCTTCCCCATCATTTTGTTACACTATCATTCCAACTTCTTCGGTCTCCCTCTTTAAGGCCATATTTTCAGCCCCCAACAACTCATAAAAAATGCAGCAGTAGAGGAAAAGAAGGATGGAATGAGAGTTAGGAAGTTTACCTTGACCGATCAATCGGTTTGCATGTATTGTTGTTGTACCAAAAACAACATTGCTTATGAGTGAAAATTTTCGGAGCATGTTTGCACATTAACCCAATATGCAATTACCAATAGCAATTAAAAAAACATACGTTATAATTTTCATCATTCCTTAATTAAACTATGGATTTCTTTTTTCTTTTCTAATCTAAACTAACAACACTAATATTTTTTTAAAAATTTTGGACAATTACTATAACTGACATATAAGTCAAAATTTATTGTGGAGAATGATTAAAATTATAATTTTAATAAGGGACTTAATGAGAATTAACTGACTTCCATTCATTGAATAAAAAAAATTCCTTGCATGCTGATAAAAAATTTCCTAACACCTTTTTCGTTTCTCAAGTAAAACGAAGGCCCTTAATAGAAGTTGGGCATCGCCGTCTTTACAAAATATTTATGGATAATCCAGCCATTATATGCATTTTGTTATTTTATATTTTGGTCATTCGACTTATTCATCATTTCTACGGCCCACAATAAATATACGTCATTGTAAAGTCCATTTTCTTATACATGGATGTGGCTGGTCTTTATATGTTTAATTTTCCAAATAACTGATAGACTAAGTCCATGCAAGAATAACACAGCTACATATGGAATTTTAATTAATCTCGATTATTTATCATATTATAGCACATATGTCACTGGTTTTCATTTTTATTTTCTTCCCTTTTTTCCTCTTTCACAAAGGATTTTCAGGAACTTGAGGGCCATCAACTGAGGAATGAAGAATACATGTTATTGCCAACTATAGAAATTCCAACATTTCAATACCTCAAAGAATTAACTTTGGGAGAATGTGCAAGACTGAAATTTGTCTTTTCTACTCATATCTATCAAAGTCTTCCAGAGTTAACCTCAGTGACCATATCTTGTTGTGAGGAGTTGGAGGCAATTTTTTCAGGGAATGGAGAGACTCAAAAGAATCTATCCATCACTGAATCTTGTCTGCTGAAATTGAACAAATTGAAAATCTTTGGTTGCAACAAGCTTAAATTCATTTTATCTTTCATGATCAGTGCTTCTGGTACCTTAATACTGCCTCAACTAAGCACTCTAATCATATCAAATTGTTCTCAAATGGAAGAAATTTTCAAGTGCTCAAATATTGAACATCATGACATTGACAGTGAAAGGGAGCTCACATTACCAAGCATGAAACATATGGAGCTTAAGAACTTGCCAAGACTTGTTAATATGATCAGCCAAGGGTTTAACTTTAAGTTGCACACAGGGGAGTTTTGCAGAGTTGAGGTTCATGACTGCCCAAAACTCATGCCAATTAAGAGGGCAACTATTGACTGGACAAAAGAGGTATGTAATATTCTGTATTTGTGTTTCTCCTTTTTTTTTTTTTTTGGTTGTTGTAATGTTCTGTTCGCTACTCCGGTCTAATTCATTCATTCCTTTCACATGCATATGCACTTGAAATCTACATACGAAAGCTGCTTTGGAAACAAATGATCCTACATTTAATACAATATTCCTTTGTAGTTCTTCACATGTATCAATTTTCACATGCGTTTTATTTTCTTTTTGTAATCTACATCGAATGTACTATTATGCAGGGAACAAACCATATGAAATCTGGTTTAGTTTATCAACTTGTGACTACTTCAGTGCTGCCAATGCAAATACGATACGAATTTTTCTCACGATACCTTTCACTTGTATGTTATGTGCAGGGACTTGTAAGGAAATATGTGTTGAAAGACAGCCAATTAAATAATAACGAGGCTCTCAATCATCCTCTTTCTGTTCTAAATCCTAGAGAGCTTGATAGTCAAGCTCCTAGAGTTGAACACCGGTGGCGAGTCATGGGTGATTATGAGCAAGAAGAAACCAACAACTCAGAGCAACAAATGCTAGGAGGTCTTGTTCCCACACAAGTTTTGAGCTTCCAATATCTTTGTTCCTTAAAAGTAACTCATAGTAAAAAGTTGAAGTTTTTGTTCTCAATGAGCACTTTCGTCCACAACAGCCTTCCCAAGTTGACTTCCCTGACCTTAGCTGATTGTGAGGAATTGGAGGAAATAATTGCTGAAAATAAGGAACATCAAATCATGTCCAATGTTCAAGTTTGCTTCCCAGAATTAAGACAGTTGGTGGTTGAGAGGTGCAACAAGCTCAAAAGACTCTTCTCTATGTCCATGACTATTAGTCTTCCACAACTAGACTCTTTGTGGATAAGTGAGGCTAATCAATTAGAGGCAATTTTTGGACATGGTAGTGAAAAGGATGCCAGCTATGGTGAGACAACTGTGCTTTCAAGCTTGAGGATGATAGAACTAAGAAATTTGCCAAATTTGATTAGTGTTTGTGAAGGGTCAGAGTTTCAAGGGCAGTTAAGCAACATCAACATACACAACTGCCCCAGATTTGTGGATTCAAGTTTGGGAAGGGCCCTTCAACAATTGGCAATAATATCAGTATGAATCAATATTCTGTATTATATTTAGCTATACCGGATTTCTTTTTGTCTTTTTTAATTGAAAATGTAGTTCTTGCAGGTTTTAACAGAAGATTCAAATGTTCAAACATCATCAAATGCAGAAAAACAATTGCCTGTAAATGAAGAAAAAGGGATGATGTTGATCTCAAGCGCAGAGTACTTGTCTTTGGAGGATTCAAATGACCTCATATATGTATGGGAGGGTCCCAGTTTTTTCATGTTCCAAAATCTTAAGCAGTTATGTCTGAGTGGATGTAGAAAATTGAAGTGCATCTTCTCTAGCACCATGATCAGAAGCCTCCCATGTTTGGAGTATCTAAGCATTGAAGAATGTGAGGAGATGGAGGAAATAATGTCATCAGAAGAAGAGCATCATCACTTTCCAAATTCTTTCTGCTTCCCACAACTTCACACTCTAGTTGTCTTTAGATGCAGAAAGTTGAAATGGCTCTTCCCCTCTTTGACCTCTTCTCAACCTCTTCCACAGTTGAAATATCTAAGGATTAAAGAGTGCTCTCAACTAAAGGGACTTTGCAGTTGCAAACTAGAAATCCAAGAAGAAGGGTTTTACAACAACATACTTCCAGAGCTGATAGATCTTCATGTTAAGGATTGCCCCATCTTCTCCAAAATCACACTTTCTGCTCTTCAAAGGTACGCACATTTATACTATCCACACCTACCCATATTAAGAATTTCTTATTTTCTTTACTGGTATTATATTCTTTAATTGCTCAACTTAGAAATTTTGGCATAGCACACCTTACTAAAGTTTTATACTTCTCTAGTCCTTAATATAAGATCTATTTTGTAATACAATTTATTCTTTAAAATGGGAACTTAGGCCTAATGTTTCCTTATTTATATATTGCCTCCTCTGTGATCCTCTTTCTTCTCAAAAGATGTACTATGTCCAGTTCTAAATATAAAGATTACATTACAAATTAAGTCTTACATTTTGTATCAGAGATAGTAATTGATATACAATTTTTGGAAGAACAACAAAATTAAACGTTTATTTTAACACATGCTGCATGTTTTGCTCAGATTCATTCTTTCTGTACTCTGGTAAATGTCTACTGCAAATTGATTTTGATAGTGTCTTTATTTCTCATATTCTTTACAGTCAAGCGGCGACAAAACGAAGATACAGATTTTGGTGGTGACGACGATGATGATGGCATATAATTTGTACCAGTTGCTTCTATTTATCACTTCAAGATGCATTGCATACAGTCAACATTGCAGAAGGGATATTCATTTGTCTCATTTTTATTTAAGTGCTTTGGTTTTTTGTTGTCTACATGCACAAATCATTTTTATTTAAGCCGAAATGATCTGAAAAATGATGAATCGAATAACATGTCAATGCTTCTTACAAATCAATGAATTAATAAAATTTCCACAGATTTTTTTTTTGATTGAACAGCCTTAGTAGATTGAGTTTAGACTATAAATATTATTAAAAAATTTTGCCTGCATGAATATTATTGGATTTAATTAATGTTACTTTCAAATTTAAGTTTAATAAAGAAAATAAGGAGAAATGAATTTAAAGCAAGGAACAAAAAATCAAAGCAGATATTAAACCAGTTGAGGTAATGGTTTAAAGGTCAATTGATAAGACCGGAATCAATTGGGAATTAAACCGGTCGTGTTAAAATAACAAAATTTAAGTGAAAGTAATAAAATACAACAACATTAATAATCACTAATAACAAAATACAAGAAAATATAACAATAATTTAATTGTAATAATAATAAAGTATAACAATATCGATAATTTTGATTTTTACAATTTTTTAATAACTAAAATTATTATTCATTGATCCCAAAATCATCATTAAAATTCATTCAAATTTATAGTGACTGAGATATTAGGAGCTGAATGAAAAAAAATAGAACCAACAGCAATATAATCATTCAAACTGGTTCACATGGGTTTTCACTAGTTTGATCAGTTCGATTTTAGTTCAACTCCTATCCAATTTAATGTCTAAACCAAACTGGTTCGTCAATTTCCTTGTTGAACCGAATGGTCTGATCTTTTTTTTTTTTAAATTTATTTAAAGAGATATTCGTTCACTCATCATATTCTCAAACGCGAATTATATGAAGAAGCAAGTTGTCCACTCCCTTGTTAGTCCCTTGACTTAAAAATGGAGTGACCATCTTTGTGTTAGAATAGTTTTGTCTAGAGAACCATAAAAGTATGCTTTAGAAAAGTTTCTTTTTTTATTTAAAAAAACAAAGGAGTAGACACTAGCCATTTAAGGTTATAAGCAGAATAAAACTTGCAACCTTCCAATTGCAAGTAAAAGAAGGCATAACATTTAAAATTATGTTTATTTTAAAGTGGCATTGATTAAGAAAAAGGCAAGTTTTCTAAATCTTATGACTTGCAGACTGAGTTGTTTCCTTAGCATGTTTCTTTCTGAGATATTTTGCCTACTACATTTTTTCTTTTGACCTTCAAATGCCTCGGTTCGGAAGCAGCACTTTTCATTCTTGTGTGGGCATTTGCATGATCCGTCGGCCCATTACTAAGCCCGTGGATCACCTTTTTTGGGTGAAATAAGCCCGTGGATCTCTTATTGGGCCCCTAGACACTTAAATCTCTTAAATTAGGTTTAAAACATATATTATGGCATGCATGTTCCATTATTTATATGTGCATTGATGGCAATATATATATATAGATATATATATATATATATATGATGACCAGCCAACCCATTTCTCTCTACATTTTTCAATTTTTTTAAATTAAAATTTAGTCTTTTAATCCTAAAATTGTTAGGCTTAAATGATAATTTTTGGTCATTTTAAAAATTAAACTCTATATATTAGCAATTACGAATATTTTATCAATATTCAAGATTTTAATATCATCATTTTTTTTTAATAATTTTAAGGTTAAAAGACTAAAATATACTTTTTAAAATTAAGAGACTAAATTAAAACCAGCGTTTTAAAAGCCGGACCGGACCGGACAGTCGAACCGGTCCGGCCGGTGACCGGAATGCCATCTGGCTTGGTTAACATAATTCACCTGCCTTGCTAGTTAAACCGTTTCGAGCCGCTTTAAGCCGGCATTTGGGCCGGAAGCCGGTGTTAGCCCGAAAACCGGGACGGTTTTGCAAAAGCCAGACTGCCTGAATCTTTTACTCAATTGTGAGCCGAAGAAGGAAGAAGAAAAAAGAAGAAGAAGAAGAAGAAAAATAGGAGATCAAGAAAGAAACGAGAAGATGGAAGAAGATGATATAAAGGGGAAAAAAACACAACCTCAAAGCATCCGAATCCACCAACGTTGCTAGCTACGACAGCCCTGAACGCGGAAAACGAAAGCTACAATATCCTAAAAGAATAGAGGGTTCAGATGCGAAAACAAGATTATGCCGATGGTTTGCTCGAGTGCGGTAGAAGTAATAACTTTCATTTAATGCTTGCAACCATCCCACACGTTTACCTAGGAATCGTTTTACTTTTTCTTTTTTTAATTTCAAATTTCTATCTATATATGTTTGTTTTATTGAGTTATTTCTCATTTCTTATTTTATTTATGTTTTTATTATTTTCAATAATTTTGTGAGGTATATTATATGAGCTTGTTAACTCATTATAAAATTGAGATATTTAAGTGTTTCTTAATTTTTTTTAAAAAAATAATATGATATTTTATTTCTTATACCTATATGACTATTTTATCATATGGGTATATATATATTTTTTAATTATTAAGCTACCGGTCCAACCAAACGGTTGAATCGATCCAACCAGTTAAAGCATGACCCGCTGCTTTTTCCGGGTGGACATTCGGCTTGGCTTTTAAAACATTGATTAAAACTCCTTGTAAAGTCAAAAGTCAAAGGATTAAATCCACTTTAGCCTAAATTAAACTAGACTGAATGCAAATTGATTGTATATTTTTATAAAATTATATAATTAAATTAGTTCATAGCTCGTAAATATAAACATAATTTACTTTTAAACATTTATATATGCATTACCCTTTTCTCTAAACAAAACAATGAACTTTCCCCCCCAGAATTACCCTTTTCTCTCAATTGTTTCACGAACAAATATCTTCTCCATCAGCCTCGAAGCTTCAACACGATCATACCAGAGCTCGTCTTCTAGCGGCGCTGTACCTGCCGGAATCGTTCACAATCCTCTGATGTTTAATATATCATTGGCCACAGCTAAGTTTGATAACTATCATCCCATTACGAGTTCATGAGTAATGGCTTTGTCATTTTTTATTCTATAACTGCATTTTGATCAGGATTTTAGCTGCCATAGTTCTTCATCATTGTCAAGGTAATTCAAGTACAAGATGGAGACACACACACACATGGTTAGATCATCTTAGTGCCATTAGGCATCAATAAAGGATTCCCTCCATTGTAAACCTGAGACATATAAATATTACATGAACGACAAAAGGAAGGGAATACAATCACGCAAGCTTCAGAGCATATATTTCTCAATACTTAGAAATGTTACTATCTCGGACGAGTTTTAATTCAGCACAATCATGAGCACTGTGTGCTTATTACTGTAATGCAATTTAAACCATTCAAAATTTGATATGAATGGTCCAGGTTTAATATGTAATTTTATCAATAATCAATTTATTTTTTAAAGAAGTGTTATTATAAAATTATCTTTATTTTAGATTTTGTATCTATTAAAATAAAAAATAAATAAAATATATAAAAAATTTAAATTCAATTTAAACCATTTAAAATTGATCTGGATGGTCTATATTAAGATGAGCACTCTATGCTCATCATTATGATAAGTATCGAATGTGCCCCCATTATAAAACCTAGTTAGAAATTCATTTTGGTTCTAATTGTTAAATATAAGAACTTAATCAATTTTGTACTTTATATTTATCTATTTTTTCCAAATAATTCATATAGTAATTGCATATGTTAAAGGATTTTTACCAAAAGTAGTTACAATATACATAATTAATAAGGATATTTTGAATAAGAGTATCCATTTATTATAAATAACTAACTTAACTAATTTTTTTAATATTCATAAATTAGTTATCTAGGTTTTATATTAAACATCCAAGGCACTACATGTTAACATATACTACCTCCGATCCTTAATATAAGACCCTATTTGACTTTTATTTTGGTCCTAAATATAAGATTCCAATCCACTTTGTCTCTCATATTTATACTTTTTTTTTTCAAAGTAGCCCTTCTAATAATGATAGTTCTAGTCAATACACTTGATTAACAATGATATTTTAGAAAAAACAACACTTATTTAAGACATATAACTAACTCAACTTACTTCCTTAATCTCCTTAAATTAGTCAATTGGCTCTTATAATTAGGACCGGAGGTAGTATGTAATAAAATTGGCAATTAGTACATCCAACATACATATGGAAGCCTAGCATGCGAAACAATCTTAATGCGAGAAATGCTGTGGGTGAAAATCTACAAGCTAAAGGATATTATAACATTTTAACTTCTTAGGTTAAAACTTTTGAGGGAGAAAAAGAATTTAGAATACAGTCATACACACACATATATCCAACTGTAAAACAAGTAAAAATTTGGAAGCGTAGTTCCGTTCTTTTTCATTAAGTTTTGACAAATAAAATGCTGAACAGAAATCAATACGCAAAGACTGGCAATGTTCTCTAATACAACGTGATAGATATACTACCCCCGTCCTTAATATATATAAGACCCAACTAATTAACTTGGAGAAATTAAGAAAATTATTAAATTACTTAATTATAGCATATGTTATATGATATCTTTAAAATACTTATGTAGATTATTAGATTATATAGTAATTTATAAGTAAGATCAACTAGCTTAGAGAAAGATGACAAATATATATAGTTTAAAGTAATTTAATAACTTTCTTAATGTTCTCAAATTAGTTAACGGGATCTTACATTAAAAACTAATAATAATAGAGCAGCATATAGTAATTACCAGGTTGACATGGTAAACACAGAAAACTCTCATATTCACTCGTATGGGAGGGAAAGATTAATTAAAGAGAAAGAACTCTTTAATTAATTCGAATAAAAATGACAATATTATGAGAATTAGCCTTGCAGATTGTAGTCGATAGAGCTGTATCATGTTCAACACTTGATCCAACCAAAAATTAATATAATAATATATAGAGGTAAAGGAATTTTTGCCCCATAGTATTTCATCCTCAAGAAAATTGTGAGACGGTACGTATTCAAAAATACTATTTATAATCCTTAATATAAGGAGTTAGTTTGATATTTAATTTGATTTTAAATATAAG